TTAGGGTTTAGGGTTGTGTTTAGGGCTTCCGGGCTCTATGGGTTTGGGGGGCTTAGGGTTTCGGGTTTCGGGTTTAGGGGTTTCGGGTTTTTGGCGTTTAGGGTTTATAGGGGTTTGCGAGTGAAAGGTTGAAGGGCTTCCGGGTCTAGGGGCTAGGGAGAGGGATGGCATAGGGGCTTCTAACAGGAGCTTACAGGATTTAGGTGCCTATTTGGGTTTAGGGATTAGGGATAAGGGTGCCCGCTTGCAGACGGAAGCCTAGCCCCTGGCCACTAGAATCGAGATTAGGGTTTCAGCACTCACAACTGGGACAAGGATCGCGAGGATTCCAAGTACGACGAGAGCACTGTGCCCAGAGCAGGCAGATTCACCCCACTCACACTGGGTTTAGGGTTTAGGGAACCATAGACCCCAAACCTTAGCCGTTTATTTATATACTTCATTAAAGGCTCCTGGTGTCTCCTATCACTTCGGCACATGCCAGGGCGAAAACTTGAGGAATTGCTCCGTTTATGAAACTGACCGTCTTGACTCCTCACAGATCTGCTTCTTAGCCTTTGCTTAAATTTGTTGTCAATGTCATGGCCCAAACGAAACACTCTCTCTCGATAACCCTGAACCCTGCAACCTTCTAGTGCTCTTATGATCCCCTAAACCCTAAACCGTAAACCCTAAACCCTTTAAGGAATACAGAACCCTTTTGCCATTGGCCCGGCCCGAGCGCTGTTCTCGCCCGTGGCGACGACCTTCACGAAATGGCCGAGAGAGTCCACCCACTCCTTCACGCACTGGGGCTCGAGAAGGTTTAGGGTTTAGGGTTTAGATGCGTGAACAGCCCCCCCTGGGTTAGGGTGCCTGTGTAGTGGGCTCCTTGGGGTGCAAGGCTTTATCCGGACAGATGCGGCCAAGCCGCACCCATGAGGAAGCTGATCTGCGAGTAGTCCATTCCATTCCTCATCAAAAGCTCATGGCCCGCCCCTCTCAGGAACCCAAAACCCTAACTAAACCCATCAGACCCTTATCTAACCCCTTTCAGCCCCTGCTCAACGGAACCCCTAGAAAAATATCTTTCTAATAGGCCCCTAAAAAACCCCAAACCCTTATAGTAGCCCTTATGGCGCCCTTTAAGGAACCCTTGAAAGGAGGCCCCCAAAACCCCATTCTGAAGAAACCTGCGCCTAGGCGCCTCCAAAGGAATGTAAGGCTCCCTGGGACCCTGGAGACTCTTGGCATCCTCTCACTTGACACGAGTTTAGGATTTAGGGTTTAGAGTCTAGGGTTTAGGGTTTAGAGTCTAGGGTTTAGGGCTTGGAGTTTAGAGTTTAGGGTTTAAGGTTTAGGGTTTAGGGTTCAGCAGGGTTTAGGGTTAGAGGAAGAAGGGCCTCCTCTCACAAGACCTATACTACACACAATGCGAAAAGCGCTGTTTCCAACAAACCCCAGAAGGCTTGAGGCAGCTTCCAACCAAAACCCCCTAAGCCCGAAAAGCTAAACCCAAAGCACTTAAGGTTTAGGAGCTACGGCTTAGAGTCCCTGCGCTCACGCTGGGCCACTGCGAGCGAGCCATGTGGTCATAGGTCGGAGATGGTGAAACCAAGTAAATTCTACCAGCATCCCTCGAGTGGCACTGAGCACTCCATCCGGCCCGATGCTTCGCACTTCAAAGCAACAACCAATACTACCAGTAAGCTGAGTACATCCACCAAAAAGCCTCCCTGAAGCTCAAACTCCACATGCAACGACTCGAGTCCTTGCGCATTCTAAGCAACATCGGGGTCAGTGTCACTGACGTCATAACCGCCATCGACACCACAGCTGCTGCGTTGGGAAGTAGTTGTAGTGGTCATTCCGTAGAAGCAGCAGTAGTTGCAGCAGAGGTGGCGCGTAGTAGCAGGGCAAGGCGAGATGGAGCTTAACCAGCTGGGGAAGCAGCAAGGAAAATCACGGCGCAGGCAGTGAAGGTGTCGTTTCATGGCCATCACCAAAATCACCATCACCATCAACAGCATCAGCACTATCAAGATCACAATCATCGTCAACACCATCGTCGGCATCGCACTCAGCACCAGTATCATATGTAATCAACCCTAGCGGGACCACCAACATCGCCAGCGGCAGCGCCGTCATCAACAAGGTCATCAGCCCAGGCACGAAACAGCAGTCACGGCAAGCAAGCCTTGAAGGGTTCACACAGGAATGGAGGATGAGGTCCGAATCATAGAGGCGCTCAAGAGGAAGGCAGCAACAGCCGTAAGAACCGAACGAAGGCAGCAGCCAAGCCTAACAAGTCATGGCGAAGGGCAACAAAGATAACAACCCTGTTCGAACGAAAAAAACATAAAAATTCTGAACAATCGCTGAACCAAACCCAACTCCAAACCTTAACCCCTGGCAACAGCCTTCCGCCAAGACACAGCTTCAGCGGCCCCACCACCTGCTTCGGCACATCTTTGGGCTGAAGATTTAGGAATTAGGGCTTGGGATTTAAGGTTGGGTTTGGGGCTTAGGGCTTAGGATTTAGGGTTTAGGGTTTGGGGCCTAGGGCTTAGGATTTAGGGTTTAGACTCTCGCAACTCGGGCAATGCAGGCAAGGATGGTCCATAGTTCGCAGGGAAGGCACATGTGGCCATCATCTCCGCTCAGCGCCCCCCTCATGCTGACGACAGTACAGATGAAGGTACATACAACAGCAATCGCCTACGGCTTAAACCAAAAGTGCACGACTCGAGGTTAGCAGCTGCCAAAGCGACTAGCTGTACCCAGGGTTTAGGGTATATATTATAGAACATCTATTATATATTATATACTATATACTATATCGTATATATTATATATTATATATTCTATATAATATGTTATATATTATATGTTTTTTATTTTATATTTTATATTTTATATTTTATATAACATATTATATTAAGGGTTTGGGGTGTCAGGCCTCAGGTGGTTCAAGGCGTCGGGGGCAGGGTTTTGGTTTTGAATCGTGGCATTAAGGCTTGCCTTTAGTCTCCAGTGTAGTTCCTTTTTTCGGTTTAACCAATAATATCTTCAGGACTTTATCAGGTATCCCCAAAAAGGAACTACAATGGAGACTACAGGTAGGGCTGAAGCCTTCGAACTTGATCATGCCTCTTCTCAGCCACAACAGCCATCGGTTCTTCCGGCGCAAGAATGCCCCTGAACCCTAAACCCGATGTAAGCCTAATCAAACCCTAAAGCCTCAACCATACGATATACAATGCAAGCTTTTGTTGGGCGTGGAGCCTGCTGCAGCTTTCCCATTCCGATTCCTTTCGAGCCACGATAGCGCAAGTAAAGCCCTAGTACCTCGAAGCCCGAAACCCTCAAACCCCGAAACCCCAAACCCCCTCACCCCCAAACCCTCAACCCTTATGCCGCATGTCCCTTTATAAACCCCCAATAAATCCTAAACCCCTCAACCCCTAGGCCCTGCCTTCTGCAGCATCGCCTCCAACTCATCGCTGCCCGGCTCCTGGGGAGATGCGCCTCGGCCACGCGGGCTTGGGCTTTGGGGTTGCGGGTTTAGGGTTGATAGGGTTTACGGCTCAGGGTTTTAGGGTTTAGGGTGGTTAGGGTTGATAGGGTTTACGGCTTAGGGTTTTAAGGTTTAGGGTTGATGGGGTTTAAAGGTTTAGGGTTTGGGGGCTTTAGCGCGTCTTCTTGCACGGCGGCCGAGAGCTAGCAGCTAGGATTTGCGGGTGGCGGCATCTTTCGCGTCAGGCGACCTCCCTTGTGCGCTGGACTTAGAGCTGGGTGAAACCGGAAGTCTTTTACCCACCAGACGTGGTGATACTCAGGGCAACGGCCCTAAACCCCCTCTTGGACCTCCTGGGGCCCTTTTTTGAAAAGGGTTTAGGGTTTAGGGTTTAGGGTCTTGGGTTTAGGGTAACCTTAAACCTCAAAGATTTGACCCTGGAGTTTGCGGCCTGCTGCCATCAAGCGGAGAATCAAGGTATTCTTGTGGACTCTAGGCTCGGCTGTGGCTGGCCGGCGGCGAGGCAGAGCCCGGTTTGTAAGCGATGAAAGGCTGCCGGGCATCTTCAGTGTGTGTGGGCACCCAGTTACAAGGTCCCTCGACGACGGCGCAAGCCAACACCATAATGAGCTAGCCCCAGGAGAGGGACATTACTAATTATTGGTCCCTTTCTTCAAAGTGGCTATGGTCCAGGGGGTTCCGGGCGAGCTCGTCTTAGAAAGAGTGCCACCCAAGTGTAGAAAGCCCTCTGGCAAGCCCCATCAACCCCTGTGCAAACCCTGCAATGACAAGCTATATAAACACCAAAATGCATAAATATATATATATATACATA